ACCTAATTTGCTCTATAAGCTTTCACCCAAACTACAATAAAAGTACAGCCCTTCTCAAAGGGAATCATCAGCTTTCTATGTAAATTATATCACAAAAATATTTCCTTTTAAATTTTAAACCAAAGCTGTAACTTCTATGCAAAGCACAGTACATACAGAAAGGAATAAACGAAATCTGCTTTGTTCAAGCAGCATTGCTTGTGGCTATGCAAGTCTGAAGAGGGATTTATGGACTAGTATCGGACTTATGGACTTGATCTGAAGCGGGCTAGGATGTGATCCTGGTGTATAACTGCTTCTTGATATACAGCTCTTTCTTACACATAGATGAGTGTCACTAGATTTGCCTAGTCAATGCAGCTTAACACAATGTGTCATCCTGGCCAGATGAGGATGAATTTTACTCCAGAGCTGAAGGAAGAAGTACCACAGGCTTTCAGAACATGCGTGAAAGAGCCAAGGTCCGATAAAGACAAAGAGGCCCACAGCCTCAGTTCCATGCCAGTACCAACCCCTCAAAAACCTTACATTTTTACAGATATGAATTTTCAAAATATGGAACAGTTTAAATAAAATACATTTAAGTTCTGGAAGAGTATAAATTCTGAAAGGACTCAAGATATGGACAGAAATCCTCCAGAATTCACTAGTCATATTTAGTTTTGTCATACACAATTTTGCTAAACAACCTTTAGATTACTAAGTAATCTTGAATACTAAAATTTGTTGTATTTCTGAAAGTATCATTTGAAGGATATGTGGGTTGAGAACACTACATCCCTGTGGGCTCTTCCCATTTGGAAAGATGTGTAGAGGCAACAGCCAGTTAAATTATTTTACTTTCACGATCAATACCAACTGACTAAATGAAATGTTGCCACAAAGAAGGCTTCAACTGATGGGGACCCCAATGGATGAATAGCATTTAATTTTTTCATTAACACATATTTGGCAACTACAAGACAGATACTTAAGATACAAGCGATTTCCCCTTGTTTCATAAACATGTAATTGAAACCATTGGATAGTGAAGATAGTAAGATTAAGATGGAACACGGATCTTCAATTTCTAAAAGTAATTCCTCAACTTTTAAAATGTATTCAACACACCACTCAAATGGTCTAAGTCTTTCCTTTAAAAACTAGGCAGTAATTGCCAATGTGTTGAACCAGAGCTGGGTGTTTCAGTGAGTTTTTAAGCAATCATAGGATAAACTAATAACGGGAATTTCTGGACCTTTTTCAATGTTCTATTCTTGTGAAAGGAACAAGATCCTAAGAATTGACACCTATGGTCCCACCAGATGCAGAGGGGCTCACTAATGCCTAGGATTTCGATCTTCATAAATCCCATGTCATTTTTTGATCACTTATAATTTTCCTCAATCCATACTTTGCACATTCCAACTTTTGATCCTTAGAAGATGTTTCCAGCACGTTTCCCCTTATCTTGAGTCATGGCCCATCAGCAAATGAAGATTCCGAAATCTCCACTCCCACAGGTTTAACCAACTCAAGGCACCAGGACCCCCCTCCCTTACAAGAATTGTCCTCCTCTTAAGTCACATTTGAATGCCATTGGACCTGAGAGGCTCATCCTTTGGCAATAACGCCAACAATATGCCCGTTTCCTTTGTCTAAGCTTTCCATACATGACAATGCTTCAAAACTATGCATAACGGTTTCAGAGGTTTCTCCCAAAGGGGGAGTTGAGTCCTTCTTCGATGAGGGCCTGCTGAAACCCGTTCACTCTGGGTGACCCCGCTGGCCTTTGATATACCAGCGACATTGCTTCCAGCATCACAGCAACATGTAAGCCACCAAGTACGACAAACTCACAGACCAGTGGTGGACATTTATTAGGAGGGACCATTTTATTATAATAATTATGATAATAGTGTTATTTTAATAATAGCATTCAATGATGTTGAACTCTATCATCAAAGTCAGTAACAAATGAAGATTATACACGTTATGCTCAAGGTCTAGATTCCGCATAGAAAATGTAGAGTAAATCTCTAAGGATTGCTCACCAAGGTTTCCACTTAAATTCTCTGTTGTAAACATTGAAAAAAAAATGCTTCCTGAAAAACTCCTCTTACTAACATTATGTGTCCTTGTTTTTTCATTAGCGGCACAATGAAACAAAAAAAATATTCCCGTATATACTCAATACAAGCATATGTCTTTCAAAGTATTCTCCCAAAGTCCCTTAATTTCAGGTACAGCAACAAATTTCTCCTTGAATTCTGTATGAAGACAAGATTTACACTCCAGAGTGATACCTTTTATTTGACTAGACAATACGAACTATTGTATCCACTGTCTCTTCTTTTGCCACAGCTTATGGAAAGTCAGCAAAATATAGGGCTCAAATATAGTAATACACTCTTTCCAGGTTCTTCCTGAAACAATTGATTTAATCTCCCTACTTTATGGTTTTATTTTTAATATTGCAATGATTCTAGTCTCATTTTTAAGTTACTTTGATATAAGCTATAAATCATGAATAAAAAATATGCCATTGTTTGTGATACATAGTACCTACTTTATGTATCAGAGCCATCTTTGGCTATTTGGGCAGTATACAGAACTCTTAATTATAAATAAATTTTCCTATTGTTGGCATTATGAAATATACAATGTTATTTTTGTTCACAAAATCACTTAAGACCCATGGGTCTTAAAATCAGTATTTTCAAATTATTTAGATTGACAACAACTTTTAGTGAACAAGACAATCAGCTTTCCTTGAGCAAAACAGAAATGAAGACTGTCTTATGAAAAATCATTCCTCACCTCAGCTCCCAGCCCTACCCTTGGGCGTCTCCCCTCCTCCCTCCCTTCCCTCTCTGATCTCCATGACCCCCTCTGGACACATTTCATCTTGAGTGTCTGGGAGAGGTTTCACACATCATTACTTTAAATAGAAATATTATTTAGTAGTCAGCAACTCAAAAGTTTAGAATTGTAATAATACGCTAAAAAAAATTAGCCTACTTGGCAGACTACCAAATGGAATGAGTGTTAACACTAAGAAAATAAGAAAAGTAAGACATCTCACAGCAAATTAGCAAATTAGACCTAATTTTCATCACGTTATGTTCAGGTAAATCCTGAAGAGTATACTTACTATACTAGCAAAGTTAAATTATTTAAAAGTTGTCTCCATGCTACTGAATATGTCAGGTTTGAAATAATCTTAGTGCTTATTTGATACATAAAAAGAGTACTGCAAAATTGGCATTCTATGATGCTCACCTTCCCGACACAACCGCTGAAGACAAAGC